AGGCTAGAGTTCTCTTCAACATGGTTGTAGAGAGTCCTTTATTAGATGGCATTTCTCATAAACAGAATCTCCACGTTGGAGCCCTTGATCTTTGATATTTTGTCTCCCCGGAGCTCACATTAAGGAGAGTTGGTTTGTAGGCTCCTTCATTCAGGACCATTGGAAAAGCCTTAGGCCACGGAAGGTTAAAAGTTTCTGTAAGCTTTGTAAATTGATTTTTTAATTACATTATTTGTACATTCCAGCAATCTGGAAGACTGAGAGTAGTATGCAAAATGGGAATTCTAAATAACCAGTCATATGTTAAAGTAGATTGAATTGTTTCATCAGTGAAATAGATTCCTTGGTTGCGGTGAAGCTTCAAAGGAACTCCCCAAGAAGGAAGAGGACAAAACTTTTTTTTAATTTAATTTCTTTTTTTGAGACAGAGTCTTGCTCTGTCACCCAGGCTGGAGTGCAGTGACGTGATCTCGGCTCACTGCAAGCTCCGCCTCCAGGGTTCATGCCATTCTCCTGCCTCAGCTTCCCAAGTAGCTGGGACTACAGGTCCCCGCTACCCTGCCCGGCTAATTTTTTTGTATTTTTAGTAGAGACGGGGTTTCACCATGTTAGCCAGGATGATCTTGATCTCCTGACCATGTGATCCACCCGTCTTGGCCTCCCAAAGTGCTGGGATTACAGGCGTGAGCCACTGCGCCCAGCCAACTTTTTTTTTTTGAGATGGAGTTTTCCTCTTATTGCCCAGGCTAGAGTGCAATGGCTGGATCTCGGCTCACTGCAACCTCCACCTCCTGGGTTCAAGTGAATCTTCTGCCTCAGCCTCCTGAGTAGCTGAGATTACAGGCATGGGCCACCACGCCTGGCTAATTTAATTTTTATCTCTACTAAAAATGTAGAGATAGGGTTTCTCCATGTTGGTCAGGCTGGTCTCGAACTCCTGACCTCAAATGATCTGCCTGCCCTGGCCTCTCAAAGTGCTGGGATTACAGGCATGAGCCACTGTGCCCGGCTGAGGACAAAACTTAAAATGGCCATGGTTAAAGATGCAATTGTCAAAAAAATTTTGGTCAATTTTTTGTGGCCTAGAAGTCAGCATAGGCCAGGTACGGTGGCTCACGCCTGTAATCCCAGCACTTTGGAAGGCTGAGGTAGGCAGATCACGAGGTTGTGAGTTTGAGACCAGCCTGACCAACATAGAGAAACCCCATCTATGTAAAAAACTGGCACAGTTGAAAGGCAGAGCATCTAGAGCTTTAAAAAATTAAGAATTCCAGGCTATGCGCGGTGGCTCACTCCTGTAATCCCAGCACTTTGGGAGGCCGAGGCAGGCGGGTCACGAGGTCGGGAGATCGAGACCATCCTGGCTAACACGGTGAAACCCCGTCTCTACTAAAAACACACACATATACCGGGTGTGGTGGCGGGCACCTGTAGTCCCAGCTACTCGGGAGGCTGAGGCAGGAGAATGGTGTGAACCGGGGGCGTGGAGCTGAGATCGTGCCACTGCACTCCAGCCTGGGTGACAGAGCAAGACTCCGTATCAAAAAAAAAAAAAAAAAAAAAAAGTCAAGGATTCCGCTTTATTTTATTTTATTTTTGAGATACAGTCTCACTCTGTCACCCAGGCTGGAGTGCAGTGGCCGGATCTCAGCTCACTGCAAGCTCCGCCTCCCGGGTTCCCGCCATTCTCCTGCCTCAGCCTCCTGAGTAGCTGGAACTACAGGTGCCCACCACCACACCCGGCTAGTTTTTTTTTGTATTTGTTAGTAGAGACGGGGTTTCACCGTGTTAGCCAGGATGGTCTCGATCTCCTGACCTCATGATCTACCAGTCTCGGCCTCCCAAAGTGCTGGGATTACAGGCTTGAGCTACCGCGCCTGCCGGATTCCACTTTTAAATGGAATATTGAGGCTCCCACAAGATGGAAATACCACAGGACAGGGCTGTGTTTCCACAGCGCACCTCACTGCATGGACATTCCCTGAGGCTGGTGGGAGACCCATTAGCCCACTCTGTGATCAGCCCATCTCCCACAGGATTCTTATCCCTTGACAGCCACCAGCCACCACCACAACTCAGCCCTTGCCAGGAACTTGCCAGCCACTGCACACCCAAAGATCATGTTCTTTCATACAACAAAGTAACCCCTGGCACCCCCCAAGCCAAAAGGTCAGAGAACTCAGTGTAAAAGAGATCAGAGCTTTAGACCTAAGATAAACTGCCTGATATTCTTAGGACTCCATGAGGAAGACAGAACTCCATAAAAGGTATATGTGACACTTTTTTCTGTGTTCCTCAAAGGGTCTCAGAGACATCAGAAGACTCTTCTAGATTTCTTTATGTGGTACCAAAGATAGCTAAAGGAAGAAAGAGTAGAAGAAAATGGGAGAACAACTCTAAGCCAATTTGGAGAGATTTTAAGTTTTTCAGAAGGTCAATAAAATTTTACATCATACTAACAAGAAAAGAAGCAAACAAAAGGATCAGACATATTTAAAGAGGAGTTTCAGTCAACTGAAAAAAAAAAAATTCCCAGAAACAGGATCCAAAAGAGAAAAAGCAGAAAGGCATTTTTTCTTTAAAAGAAAAAAAAGCCTGAATATCAGCTTTTAATTAAGCTGACATCTGACCAAA